GCCAGAGAAGGTTTACTGGATGCTGGCCTTCTTCACCACCTCCTGCTCAGACTGTCCTGGCATTCAGTGTTAACACTTGAGCACAGGGGCCATGGAGCAGAACCCTGCAGAATTGCACCTTCCTTGGCTTCTTTGGTGACAAAGCTCCAAAGGGGACACCACCACTGGTACCACCCTTACTATGCTCGTGGAGTGCAAAGAGCAATGACACAAAGCCAAGATGTCTACACTATAAAGACCACCATCAGCCTGGGCTGCCCCAGTGTAAAATAAAAAGACAAGTCTCAGTGATGTGGTTCTTCTCACTTGTTTTAGCTGTCACTGTTACACTAGGGTGTATTTGGCCCTTTCTGTGGCTGTTTCTCACAGCTGACTGTAAGGACAGCCCAGGTAGGTTCACACATAATTACACTTATATGAAAAGTTAGCTGATCTGAAGCCCACCTGAAGCATGCCTTGCCTACTAAAGGTCAAAATCGAAGATGATTGGCCACAAATGCAGAACCAAGTGTTCACGGAGGGCAGGATGGTTGGAAGGAGGTTTGACTGCAAGTTGAAGGATTTTTAATCTACTATGGAGCTGGCAGGGTCCTGCCACCACACAGAAAGGTTTGCGTGCCTTTTAGTTTGAGTAGGAAGGGCAGTGCTACATGGGTTTAGTGGTTTTTAGGTGTCTGAGAAATGCTATATTTGTACCTTAAAGATTGGTGTGGCAAACTTTTTATCTCTCTGTTAATGATGTGAGAAAAAACCAAATTCTCCCACCTAACTTGCCTCATGAAAGACCTGCATTTCTCAGATCTCTCTGTTAATGATGTGAGAAAAAAACCAAATTCTCCCGCCTAACTTGCCTCATGAAAGAGCTGCATTTCTCAAGAGTAAGAAGTGAAATCAAAGTTATCTAGCCAATGGCTAATGTCTGCTTATACCAGCAGTGCAGGCAGGCCCATGCTTGCCTGATTTGTGCCCTGGCATGGCTAGCTTCCATCAGTGTTTCTTCATTAAGACAAAGTGTTTGGACCAGTTTGCCTTTAACAGACCTGATCCAGCAATATGTTTTCATACCCGGCTCCAAAGTCCATGCCACATCCCACTCACCCTTTTCCAAAGCCAGTGCCAAAGGGAATGTGCAGCTATCAGGTCAGGCAACTCATGCAGCAGCAAAAAAACACACTTGTTTCGCTATTTTAGACTTCAGGAGGATTCCTCAGGAGGCAAGGGCTGCACAGAAAAGCAGAGGCCACCCTGTTCCTCAGTATTGTGCCCTTCAGTCAGCCTCAGGAGACCTCAGATCACTTCAGTAAAGCCTCTATACTATAAGGCTCACTCTCTCATTTCTCACACCATGGACTGACCTTCAGGCTTGGATTTTCCTTAAATTTACTACTGCAGAAATAGCTGGAAATTGGGAATTCTGAGCCAGCTCTTCCTAGCCCCCCTGTCCCCCCCTCCACTAGCTCCAGTGGTAATCTAGAGCAAGAGAATGCTTTAAGCAAAAATATAGTAGGGTGGGATGAACCCAAGCCCAGCTAATTCGAGGATTTTTCCTCAGTACTGCACTGGAATTCTGAACTTTGAACAGAACATCCAGTATTATGCTCAGTGTCATATCAGTATGATCTGTCCTTCGTGCCTTAACTTTCAAACCCTTCATTTGGGGCAGGGGATGAATCACACGATGACTCTCTTGCCTATCCAATCATTTTCAGCATGACTCTGACCATTTAAAATGCAACTCCTTTGATCCTTTTGCTGCATTTGTGGTTTAGAAAGATGACGCTTCAACTGAGTAAGAAAAACCATGGAAATCTGATGTTTCATCTTAGCAAGAAAAAACACAGAAATATGATGTTTCACCAGAGTAAGGAAAACAATGGTACATTTGAGCCTTTCTCGTCTGAGCCATGCAAACCCAAAGCTTAGCTAAATTCTCCATAATTTCTCTCCTGATTTCTATGCCAAGCTGGAGAGTTCAAGAAGCTTATTTTTCCCCTTGTGAGAGAATCCCTTGTCATCCACATCCACAGGTAGCAGGCAACCACCACCTTTATAGATGGCATTATGGAGAGAAGAAAAGTAGCACACAACAGATTTCACCACCATAGGGATGTAAATCAAGAGCAAATCTTCTGAAATCAATGCTGTGGCTTCATATACATAGGAGAAGATCCCAAGCCATGTTTTCCAAAACTAAGCTGTTAATTTATGTTGTGGTAGTTTGTGTAGTTTTATGCTATCTTATCAAAGACAACTCTCTGGCTTTAGACCAGTCAACTGAAGTCAACCATTGGGAAGTACCATTAGTTTTAAAGGAATAAAGGAGGATAAAAAGGAGGAGGAAAGTGCTTTCTGCATTTTGTGCACACACAGACTGCTGTGTGTGATTCAAACACTTTCAGACCCACCTCCCTGCTTTCTCATTTACTTCATTGGTCTACCACTGGAGTTGGATGACACCACTTGAGTCTGTCAGGATGCTGACATCAATACGTCTGTCAGGATACCCCTGCTAACTTCTGGAAGAAGAGTCAGCAGGGATAGAGGGGAGGGAGAAAATGATGTGACAAGGCTGGGGAATGCCAAGCAGAAAACACGACTCACACATCATGGCTACAGCAGCAGCATTGGCTCCCAGTAACTGTGTCGGTGTTAGACTCACAGTACTGTGTACTGGAAGCCACGTGTGCTCCTGGCACCTGGACTAGTTCTGCAGATGTGTGCAACTGCATCAGGCTGTGTGAGTCCTCCCTGGCAGAATCTGGCAAAAGAGATTTCTTACCTGAGCACGTAAATACTTTTTCAGTCATTTTTTCACTGGCCTGGTTCTTAACAACACATCTGAACGTCCCAGGATGCCGTGTATTCAATTCCAATATTGTTACATTCTTCTGGATTTTTCTGCCTTTAAATTGAGTCAGTTCCATTATAAATAGTTCATCTTTAGCCTTCTGTTTCACTTCACACTTGACAAATACAGTCTTATTCACACATTCAGCACTGAGGATTGGCTGAGGGACAGGCTCTGAGAAAAGAGAGAAGGGACAGGCACATCTGAGATGGTTTCTCCTTTTGAAAACCTCCATTATTAAACAGAACAGAGAATTAACACAAAATAACCAGTTAATGAGACCACAGAAGAATGAAGGGCAAATTAGACCTCTACTACAGAGGTAACATGGCAATAATAAAGAGAATGCAGAATATTTGGCCCAGCAAAGCAGAGTTGCACTACCATGTCTGGATTGCTTTCAGGCTCAGCCTGGCTCACAGCCAGACAGGCAGGTGAGGGGAGGAAGCTGAGTTTTCAGAGAGGTGGCAGATGGGAAGGACTTGAAGCCACAGCCCCCTCCAACTCCAGCCCCAGTGTTTTGGTGCTATGAATTTGGCCCTGCTCTGCCTGTGTCCATCAGGAGAGATGTTCTCTAAAGCAGGAAAAACAGCTCCTTATCATGCTCTGTGTACCACCATCAGCACTCAGTGAACATGACAGCCACAGCATGAAAACCCATCACACCAGAAAGGAAAACATGAAACAGACATCTCAGCTCTCAATGAGGTTTTGACAAAGACAACTGGTTTCTGTCTCTTCTTATGCCCTGCAAACAACTAGTTACATTTTGGTTCCAGTTTTTCTATCATTGGTGGCACTGAAAGAGTCATAAAAACCTGCAGGGCTTTCCTCAAGTAGGAGCAACTGGCAGGAACAGCAAATGGAAAAATTTATTTATACCTTTTAGACCAGGCAAATAAAAACCTGCCAGGGCCACCTCTAGTTATAGGCAGTGTAAGTTATAGAGATCATAAACTTTAAAGCCAGTAAGGACTACTTGTAGCACATGCAGTCTATGTTCACACCATGATATCTGCAGCCACCCTTTCCTTGTTAAGCCAACTCCTCTTCTGCAACCTGTAACCTATTATTCAAGGGGAACATCCCACCATGAAACACGAGAGTCCAGGTGCTGGTGATGGAGTTGTGTGAAATTATCATTTAAACTGTTGGAGTTTTTTTAACAATTGTTTATCCAAGCCTAGTAACAAAAGGGTAACCTGTATGACAAATTACTCTAGTGCCCAACAGTTACTCCAGGACTTTACTTCCAAAACTGTGTGTCAGAGGTAAGGCAACCTCTCTGCTACACAGTAGAGGAAATGATGTAGTTGGGTTGGAATATTAACCTTAACCTGAAACAAGAACACCTCAATGACAGCTCAGTGGCTTATAGCATGAGCAAACAGCACCAGGCTCTGATGACTTCCTGAATCTGTTTGCAATAATAGTTCCCCAAGTGGCGAGACACCCTCACTGCTCAGCAGCCACTTAGACACGGAAGCCCCGCTCAAACCATTCCAGCTGTTGCTTCCTCATCAAGGGAACATGTCTATAGTCGCAGCTGGTGCCCACAAACTTAGGAGGTTAGCAAAGGTGAGCATGCTGTCTGAAGGACAGAGCAAAACTATCTTTTTGTTGGAAAAAAAAAAAAAAAAAGCATGTTGCCCTACACTTAGAGGTCTGGGAAGGTGGCAGGAGCCATAAGGGAGCACAATAGCCATCACCATCTTCCCTACTCATCCCAAAAACTTTGGACTGCTACTGCTCTGATCTCTCAGGACAAGATACAGCACAGGAATGGAGGCTGTCCTTGTGCTTTGACCCCATGCAGCTGAAATGCCCAGGTGCATGCTTAACTGTGCTTTGAACAGCACAGTCTTCATATTTGTTGTGTTATGCTATGCAAGGATAGGATGCAGGAGTCTTCTTCAGCTGCAAATTCAACTCTTATTGTGGTATATCTCAGGGGAGGTGTCTACTGGCTATGTTAGTGCAAAAATTGAGTGGGATTTCATTGCCTAAACACAGGCATTTAGTGCCAGCTGGGCTCCTGAGCTCTCCTCAGGGAGTTGGCAGAAGCAACACAAGCTGCTCACCTGGCTAGAGACCAAAAATCATATCTGGGTGCCCATGAAAGAGCATCAGAAGTGCCATAAGTTCACAGTGCATCAGCCACAGCTGTACTTCACACAGGGTGCTGCGCTCCCACAAGAGGTTTCTGAAAGCAGAATGCTGCTGAAAGCCCAGGCCCCTTCACAGGATGCTACCGCAGCTCAGGGCACCTTTTGCAGTGCTGCGGTAGGGCTGACCACACTCACTCCACACTCAACACAAATGTGCTCACAGCTGCTTCCTTGGGCACATATAGAAATCTGGTGTCTGACAAGAATGGAGCCAGAAAGAAGCCAGGGACCTGAGACCATCGATAGGAGAAAAAGAAGGGACAAGATAGGTAGACTGCTGTCAGTGGCAAGAGGAAAAAAGGTATGTCTTATAGAGGTACCCCCACAAATCAGAAAGGGGGGCAACGAGTAGGTAAGGCCATAGAAAAGAACAAAGAATACTAAGTCTTATTCAGCTATGCTGGGAGTGGTATGGAAAAGCAAAAACTCACCCTGAACGAAGAACATTATGTGTTCTTCTGCTATCCATTTTCCATCCTTGCGATAAGCAGTCCCCGTGTAATTTCCACTGTCCTTTTTCTCCACCTGCTGTATTTGTAGAGTGCCATTTGGGAGTATCTTACACCTGCACACGTTCTTGTTCACGTAGTACTTAAGTATGTTATCTTTCATCTGAATCAGACTTTGTCCATCTCTCTTCCATGCCACTTCATGCATGCTCTGAGCAGCAGCGATGCTGAGAAGAACTGTCTCATTCACTGCCTTGTAAATCAATTTGGTGCTGGAGCCTATTAAAGAAAGCACAACCAGTCCATCAGTGATCTCCAGCAGCCCCTTCTGCCATGGTCAGCAGCCACAGCAGTAACCCGAAAGGTTGTCACTTGCTATGCCCCCACTCCCCGAGTTGCCTAAGCCTCTCTGCATTACTGATGCCATCTGCTTTCCCTGCTCCAAAGCACCTCTTGGTCGTTCATTAGATCAATGTCAACATCCAATTTAAGTCTGAGAGGCAAGGAAGCTAAGAGCCCAGCTTTCAAAAGCTGACTTCATACTCTGGCTGACTTACTTGGAGTGATTCTGGATGCAGAGATTCATGGCTGCCCATGTACTTAACCCCGAACTTAACCATTCCTGAAAATAAAGTCACTTAGGTGTGTTTTGCACGTGGCACAGGTTGGTACCCAGAGTGCCCATCACGGCAAACATTACTGCAGACAGCAGTAGTGTCCCTGGACAGTAGGATCAGTTCAGCAACAACAGTGGTGCCAATAATAATAATAGTAGCCCATGTCAAGCAGTGAGTGAGTGTAAGGCACTGAACTGGAGGCAGACCCACCACAGTGTCCCCCCCTCACCCATCCCAGGCTCCCTGCCCCACTGGAATAAACCCACTAGATTTTTCTAGCACAGGATATTTTGATGGCAAGGTCCGTTACCACAACTGTTAAGAGTAGGAGCTTCCCAAAGGTGGTACCAGGACTGGGTAGCACTTAAGAGTGGGGCTGCCAGAGGGGATATTCAGGAAAGCTAAGGCTTCTAAACACCAACCATGTTACTACCAGTGGGGATGATGTACTCATCAGGCCATGCCCTGCCTGCTCCTCTCAGGCTGCTTCACACACAGCTTCTGCAAGGCCCAGCTCTGGTTAGCTGGAACCAGAGTGCAAAGTTATTTGGGAGGTCATTTCAAGTGAGGCACTGCCCCCACACCTGTGTCAGATGGAAAATCTGCAGGTATCACTGTGCATGCAAGTATCAGTTCACTGATAACCGAATGTGTGTCCAGGGCCACAGTTTATTTTGTTCGTCATTTTCTTATCTTCATTCCTCCTCAATTTAAAGCCAATCAGCTGGAGGAGATTTCTCTTGCCATCACCAGATAGATCTGATTCTGCTCTAATTTTAGATATTTTAAGCACTTTTTCCTCAAAGAGAGAAAAATCTATGTTTATGAATATTTTTAGCACAGTCCTTCATTCCTGGTATATAGAATAATGATAAACTGCACCACAGAGAGGAAACTGAAAACCAGTGGCTATTTCATTAAGCTAACAATATTAGAGATAATCAAAGAACTAAAATAGTGTGCCTCTGCAACAAGAACATTAATGCTGTAGTGCTTCCAGCGATTCAGCCCCAGTCTAAACAGAGGCTGTTCTTTCAGTATTGCCTTTCTTACAAGGTATTTCAAATACCTAGTGAAATATTCTGAAATCAAGCTATCAGCTAAACAGCTCTGGAAGTAGCTATGCCCCACACAGAAAACACTACAGGTTATACCCAAATATCTGAATTCTGATACAGTCACAAACATGTATTTCTTTGCATATTATATTATTCCTTGCATAACAGATGCTAGTTATATTTTCTTTCCAAAAGTAAAGGAAAAAAAGTAAACTCAGTTTTCAAGGCTAATTCAATGGCATCTCTATGGACAGACCATCTAGACACATCTCTAGATGTTTTTCTGATTCCCGTAGTCTTGCTAGTGGAAAGCTGAGTATCCTACACATATGATACTTAAAAATCTGTTTAGCTAATGAAGAAGCATTTCTGCTAAAAAGGCCAACTGAAACATCTGAACTGAGAGCATAGAGCTCACTCACAGTTTACAACAGAGAGTGAAATGGAAAAGTTCCCATTGTAACTTAAGAGAAGGAAGGAAGTCTCTGAAACAAGTTTTCCATTCAAGGAAATAATCATTTTTGCTGAGGAAGATGCTTTATATATCATATATATAAAAAAATTTTAAATCCTTATTTATCTATTAATTTTGTGTTGAAGGAAAAGCAAAGCATTAAACAGTCATACATACAATCTGTAGTGCAATGAAACAGAGGAAAAAATATATGCATGCTTGTATTGTCTCTATCTCTCATAACCTTCTCTAATCTATGAGTTAACACCTTAATTATGTTTTTAGATTACTATTTTAAAAAATAATGAGAACAGTATTATGCAAAGTATAAATGATACATGTATTTGCTTGCTGTTTTCACATCTTAGACTTCAATTCCACTGAAGACACTGAAGTATATCACTCCTTCTGTTAATATTTATGGAAGAATATAAATTACACTTTCAAAAGATTTGCACATCTTTGATAAGAAAAGGAAATTACATGCGATAATGTACAGTGAACTGGATCTCTAATGTAGTACAAGCTACCTCGAGGGCAGAAAGAAAACTGCATGCTGACATTTCTCATTATACATGTGTCAAATTAAGGCTCATTAACTTAAAATCAAAACTCTTTACAGCTTATTATTATAACTGGAATAGGAAACTCAGGTCCTGCCCTCCCCCTGGCTGAAAATTAAATCAAATAATAATAGCAATAGCCCAGAAATTTTCACTCATTGGAAAAGTGGAACTAGTTTCTTATCAGTAACAGCCCACTAAGTTGTAAATGGTTTAAAATACAATTTTAATGTTAGCCCAAAAGAGCAAAAAAGGATAAGAAAAACTCACATTTTACACTGGGAAATAAAAGCAGGAAGCACTTGACTAGGAAAATCCTCCTAAAGTTCATTTTCAGGGTCAAAAAAATCCAGTGTTGCCTTGCCTAATGATAGCTCCTGGCAGGTGAAAGGATTTTCTGCTGTGAGCAAGCGATCATGGGTGTGGGTACAGCCCTTGTGCCCTTCTCCCCTCCTCCAGCTCTCACCCTAGCACTTCTCGTTTCTAGCACAGGCACAGAAAACACGGGCAGAGCTATCTCTCAACAGGGTGTTTTATCAGGATGGGGACTACGTGTAGCAACCAAGAAAACTTACAGTAAAATGTAGGAGTGTCCCTCAGGTTTGTCTACCCAGCTGGAGGGCCAGATGGGACCTTTGTCCTCTTCAATGCTCACCTGAAAGAGTTCAGCTCCAGCATCCACATGTCACCATTCTAGCAGGATGGATGCTGTTTTTGGGAGGGGGAGAGATGGACTCCTTCTTCTCCCCCATACCCTCAGCAGCAGCAAGGGGACAGCAAGCTTAGGACCCCCAGTGAGGAGCAGGTGGCCGCTGGCTGTTGGACAGCATTTAGAAAGGAGAGACACTTCCCTTGGAAACCATCAGGATCAGCTTCACATCAGCATCTGATCTATGAGGGGCTGGCCAATGCCACAAAAGCATCCTGCAGGCAGGGCCAGCCTTTTGAGCAAGCTGTGAGAGAGGGATGAGCATGGAAGGGGATGAGAACACTGCCTTGGATCTAGTCATAAACCAGCCCTGAAACTGACTGATGTGGGAAAGATGGTGAGAAAAGAAGCTGTGAGGAGGCATGGAAGCTAGGTCCAAAAACATGCGAGAAGCTAATAAACTCCTTATTTCTGATTCCAATATGAAACAGATGGAGTGGTGAGGATTTGAATCTTATCATCCCCAGTACAATTCTTCTGCTACAGTAGCCACTGAAATCTTCCAGCTTTTTATCACAGATGTAGACCAAGAAAGAAGAGAGAAGAAAAGCTGTGGCACTGGAGGTGTACCATATTGGATGGTTTCTTGTTCTTTCTTCTTCCTTGAAGTTAAACGAAGGTCTTGTAAGATGCCTCCCCTTCTCCATCTTCATCATTTTTTAACCAGTACTAATGAGGTAAAAAGCATGCCTTTTTGCACAAAAATAGAAAACTGTGTCTGAGATTAAATGCCCTAAAGGTATTGCTATCTCTGCACATTGCAGGAAAACCTAGCTCTTCTTCCTTCTTTTGGTTATTGTTTCCTTACAAAGAACGCATAAAGGAGGTACACGCAAAAGGAGAGAGGAAGCTAGAGCAGCAAGACAATGTTTCTGTGCCCGACCTCCACCCTCTGTGGCAAAGAGCAAGCTGAAGGCAGGGACCGCTGTGCCCAGTCATCTCCCCAGCCAAGCAGGCTGTGTCAATCTCTTGGACACCCCTGCTTCCAGCCCAGGTGCCTAAAGGACTTTGGGCAAAGGCAGCTACCCTAATCTCTCCTGCTTTTTTGGAGCTTTTTTGCTGAGTTCGTCAAGCAGAGTGGAAGGAGGCTCCCAGCATGCTGAAACCACTGCCCACATTCTGCTCAACCTTGTCTTTCTTCTTCCTCGGGGCACTATCCCTCAAAGCCACTACCTGTTTCCAGCATACCCCTGCGTGCTGTCTGTTTGTCAGCATTCTCAAACTGCAAACACATTGAGGCAGGGACTGTCCTGCTCTGAGCACACACAGAGCCTCCTTGGTGCCATCTTGCTCACAGGATACTGCCATCAGGCAGTATCTTGACTATGGCAGTATTGCCGTAGGCAGAAACTGGAATTGGTACAAATGAAATAAAAATGAAAAGAGGCATGTGTGTGCATGCTTTTGTGTGTGTGTGTGTGTGTGTGTGAAGATGAGAGGCAGAAGAGAGGTAAAGCTCAATATCAGTAGAACAAGGTGTAAAAGGATTCCCTGTATTCATAATGAAGGCCACTACTTCCAGTTAATCAATTTGTTATGCCCGGATGCCCATGCTCTTGTAAGATCACAGCTGAAATGAGTCAGACTGACAGCCCCTACGCTCCAGCAGATCAGTTACAGCACACCAAACATCCTTGTTTCTGTTAGAGCAACAGATAGGCAGGAGCGAGAAACCACTCCTTAAGGAGATAAAAGGTCTGTTCAAAAAGGAGCTCACTGTGAGCAGTAAAGAGGCACTTTCAAGAGAAGTGGTAAGGACTCAGTAGCTGATGCTCCCTGTCCACTGTATATCGCAAAAATGACACCGTGTGATGCTCCCTGTCCACTGTATATCGCATAAATGACACTGTACCTTGGTATTTCTGAGTGTGTATGCACAAAATCAACTTGCCTAGTGATTTTGTGTAACAAAAGCACATCCAAGCCTGCAAGGGAGCACACCACTCACCTGCAGCATGGATTTCCCATGAGGTCCTGGAATGTGTGTGGTTCGTCCAAGCAGCCCCTTTTCTAACCAGCATCAGAAAACTCCTGCACCATAAGACCCAGCTGGACAAGGAGAAAGCACTCCATGTCTCCACCCTGCCAGATGAGAAGTGGGGAAATGACAATATCCTGCCATCTTTACCCTCCCTCTCTTGAGGAGGAAGACAATGTCACGCTGTGGTCCTGACTGGGCTCCAATCTGCATTTTAGAAGAAGGAAGGGATTTTCTGAATGTTACTGGGAGGGAAGCACTATAAGTCCCTGCACTGATGACTCTGTTTCCCTTCAAGGAAAGCCCATAGAGAAGGCATTAAGGAGAGAGTGAGTGTCTGAAAGTACCTCTGGCAAACACAGCAGCTTTGTGGCTCACTGCCACAGAGGAGCTCTGGAGGCCAGCATGTACCTTCAGTGATGTGGGATGGGATGCACATGCTGAAAACAGCTACAGCAGAGAGCACTGACAGAGCAGCCCCCCGACCAGCTAGTGATACCCCCCAAGGCAGAGGGACAGGCACAGAGAGAGTTGCTGCTTGCAGCTGTATATGGCCACAGCCCAGACACTAACCCAAGTCATGCTGGGAAAGACAAAGCAAGGTCTGCCAGGCCTGCAGATAACCATGCCCTCACACTCTTCTGCTTGCTACAGACATCTCTCTCCTACCCCTTACACAGGAAGTAACACCACTGGGCTAAATGCAAACCAGCTAGATAAACAGGGCACTGGTAGAAAAGTAGGTGTCTCTCAGTATGGTGGTGCTGGACCTGCCTTCAGTTAGGCCTGTCAGCCCATGGCTAAGGATGCTTGACTACACTGCATTGCTAGACATCTCTGTCTTCTGAGAAACAGGAGAGCAGAAGGCCATAACAATGGGCTGTTTTTTTGCAGCCACCGCTATCTCTGTGGTATTATTTCCACTGCAAAAGCCACAAAGCGATGCAGTCACATACATTTGCTTTTGTGGCTTGCTCTCTCTTTTACTCTTCTGTTCTTTGTAATATACTACTCAGTTTCCTCACAGGGAATGTAACTATCATACTTACATTTCCATGTAAAGGTGACACACTCCCACACATCTGAAGGCAACATCTCAAGAGACAATATGCAGCTGTTTCCACCTCTAAGTCTTCAACTTAGTGATGAGCCAATAAGCATTCAAGCCTGAGGCTTATAAAAAAAAAAAAAAAAAAAAGACAAAGAATGTTATTTGATCTACTAGAAAAGGAAGACTACAAATACACTTAGAATGTCCTTCACGGAAAAGTAAATTTGTAGCCCATCTGATAGTTTGCACCATCTCCTGTGGTATGAAGCTTAAGTTGCATTAAATGGCATTTGCATGGGGGTCAAACACACTGCACTCACCACCACCCAAAAATCTTCACCATGAAAGGTGACAAGAGTATTGCAAATTTGCACCTTTACATTTCTCACAGAGACAGGCCTCTGGTGAGGCACAGTGTGTGAGAAGAGCTAATGTGATCTTGAATGGAATGCCAGATAGCCAACACATGGAGAGAAAGGGTAAGGGTAACCACTCCCGAATTTACACCTGAGCCTGCAAGACTAACAACTGTGCTCCACCCAGGTTGCCCTGGATGGTAGCTGCGACTTTCACAATGGCACATTACCCTTTACTGTAGCTGTTTGCAGGATGGGGGAATTGTGGGCAGTGGCTGGGCTTGGGAGGAAGCAAAGCCAGCCCTAGCAAGAGGAGTTGCCCCTGCACTGTGAAATGCCAAGGAACTGCTGGCTTCCACATACAGTTTCAGCCATTTGTCTGATGAAGGACACATACCACCTCCTCTTCATTTCTGCCTTGGGGCCAAGAAAGGAAAAACTCCATCTTGAATAAAGTGATGTAAATATGAAGATCATTAATTCAAAATGGAGATTTGGCCAAGGGTTTGGCAGGGGTGATAACTCTGTGCCTCAGAGCCTGTTACATGCAAACTGAAAGCACTGATTTGCCTGTATGCAATGGAAATATTCCAGAAATAGTGACACACACACACACTACCAGTATTGAAATGGTTGTCTGCACAAACTTTTCTATCCTTCTCCAACAAAAAGGTAAATGGAAGCTTTCAAACAGTGAGTCATGCAGAATAGTCCTTAACTGATCATTTGAAGATAAACGGTTCCCTTGTGATGTCCATGATCCCATGTAGAACATCGTGAGTTGGAAGAGATCCACAAGGATCACTGAGTCTAATTCCTGGCCCTGCACAGAACTGCCCCAAGAATCGTACCATGTACCTGAGAGCATTGTACAAATGCTTCTTGAGCTCTGTCAGGTTTGGTGCTATGACCACTATCCTAGGGATCCTGTTCCAGTGCCCAACCACTCTCTAGGTTAAGAGCCTTTTCCTAATATCTGACCTAACTCTCCCACCCCTGACACAGCTTCATGCTGTTAATCATTAGCCTCAGGTGTTCCCACTCTGACTTGTTTTCTTCTTTTCCACCTGTGTAAGCATGTGTCAACAGCCAAACCTCACAAAAGACACACACTTTAATTCTTGCCTGAAGGAATAGATCAAGCAGCCTGACAATTTGTGGTTCACAATAACTGAGGCTAGAGCAGATGTCAGCATCCCATCAGTTATTCTTGCAGATGGTGCATTTCAGTCTTTTT